GATTGTGTGGATCATAACAAATTATGGATAACATTGAGAAGAATGGGAATTCCCAAACACTTGATTGTACTCATGAGGAACCTGTACATAGACTAGGAGGCTGTCATTCAAACAGAACAAGGGGATACTGCATGGTTCAAAATCAAGAAGGGAGTGTGTCAAGGTGGTATCCTTTCACCATACTTATTCAACTTGTATGCTGAGCAAATAATCTGAGAAGCTGGATTATATGAAGAAGTACGTGGCTTTAGGATTGGAGGAACACTCATTAACAACCTGTGATATGCAAATGACACAACTTTGCTGCTGAAAGTGAGGATGACTTGAAGTACTTACTGATGAAGATTAGAGACTACAGTCTGCGGTATGGATTACACCTCAGTATAAAGAAAAGAAAAATCCTCACAACTGGTCCAATAAACAGCTTCATGGTGAATGGCAAAAAGATTGAAGTTGTTAAGGATTTCATATTACTTAGTTCTATAATCAACACCAAAGGAAGCATCAGTCAAGACATCAGATGACGTATTGCATTTGGCAAATCTGCTGCAAAAGGCCTCTTTCAAGTGACGAAGAGCAAAGATGTTTCCTTGAAGACTAAGGTGTGTCTAACCCAAGCCATGGTACTTTCAATTGCTTATGCATGTGAGAGCTGGACAATGAATAAGGAAGACCAAAGAAGAATTGATGCTTTTGAGTTGTGGTGTTGGAGAAGAATGCTAAGGGTACCATGGCTGCTAAAAGGACTAACAAATCTGTCCTGGAAGAAGTGCAGCTGGAATGCTCCTTGGAAGCAAGAATGGTCAGACTTCGTCTCACCTACTTTAGTCATGTCATCAGAAGGAACTATTCCATGGAGATGGATATCATGCTTGGTAAAGTGGAAGGTCAATGAAGAAGGGGAAGGCCCTCAACAAGACGAATAGACACAGTGGCTGTAACAATAGGCTTAGGTATAGCAAGGATCATGAGGCTGACACAAGACTGGGCAGTGTTTCATTCTGCTGTGCATAGGGTCACTATGAGTCAGAGATGACTCGATAGCACCTAACAATAACAACATCACCTTGATTTAGGGTTATTATTAGTGGGCCCATTTGTAGTATTATCATCTGCAACTAAAATTTCCCAAAGTTTTAGTTCAGTCTGAATTAGAGGCACCATCTGTATATAAGATGCTTTTATATGACAAGAAGTTGATTTACTCTGTTCTCAACATCTACAAGCATGAGTACGCAGAATTGAACTTATCCAGTTCACAGTGGCATCAACAAAAATTCAGGACCCAGAGCCAAAACAAACAAAAAGGGATTTGTTGCCTTTTATAGGGACAGTTCAGATTCATTCTGGAATGGTCTGAGAAAGCAGTGAAGACTTTTGGGAAGACAAGAGGAGGGAGCCACTCTCCTCACAGCAGGCAACACAGTGAGATCTTTTCTTTTTCTTTTTCTTTTTCACAGGGTCTCATTTTCAGTGCCTTCTTTTAGAATTGTACTAGGCACTTAGGAAATATCTTCTATATTAAATGTGACCTTGTGCCATATAAGAGGATATTAACCATTCAAGTACTTATTTAGACTATAATAAGGAGTACAAGATGATTATTTGTTCTTGACCTAGAGAATTATACAATCTAGTAGAGATGCAAATACAAAGTAAATACTATAAAAATAAATTTAAGCTGGAAATACTATAAAATAAATTATAAGAGAGGATGAGTTATTTAGTACTTACCATATTTTTTAAAAGGAGCTATCATGGAGCTCTGGTATTGTAGTGCCTAAGGCACTTGACTGCTAACCAGGAGGCTGGTGGTTCAAACCCACCAGCCACTCCCTGGAAGGAAGGTTGGGCAATCTACTTCCCTAGTGATACTGCCTCAGAAACCCAAGGACAGGTCGTCATGAGTCAGGTGTGACTCGACGGCCCATAACAACAACAACATCATGGTGCTGTGGTGAAGACATTGGGCTGCTGACCAAAGGATCAGTGGTTTGAATCTACCAACTGCTCCATGGGAGAAAGACAAGGCAGTCTGCTTCTTTAAAGATTTACAGCCTTGGAAACCCCATGGGGGTCACTATGAGTCAGAATCAACTCAATGATAGTGGGTGGGTATATGTTGAAAGGAGTTCCTGGGTGATGTAAAAGTTATAGTGATCTACTTCCAAAAAATCAGTTATTGAAAATTGTATGGAGCCATAGTTCTACTGTGGCACTCATGGGGTTGCCATAAGTTGGAATTGACTTAACAGCAACTTGGTTACCTATTTTTATGTTAAAAAACATTATATACATGTCTCAGTTTATTTTATTTCTCAGAGAAACCTTGTACAATAAAACTGAGATTTGAAACTATTGCTTCGACAGTTCCTAAATTGAGAGTTGAGGTATAAAGCTAGTACATGTGATCTTTCCACAATATTATCTGAGATCTAAAGTGAGAGACTGGTATGAATGAAGTTCACTAGAGAAGAATCCTTGGAGGAAATAAGATTTTAATTGAGGCATGAAACTGTAAGAGGTATGAACTGAACTCCCTCACTTTGCCTATTTGTGTGATTCAGGGAGATTACAGGATTCTTTGGGGGAATATTACAAGCAAAATTTAGTTATTCAATTAATATTAAGTGTGTATTAAGTACTAGGCACCATTTCAGAGGCTGGGAAGATAGCATAGGCAAAACAGATCAAGTTCCTGCTCTCAGGCAGTAAAAATCTTCTTATTTTAGTGAGGAGAGCGTGACAATCAACATCCAAGTAAACGCATTGTACATCATATGGTGAAAAGGCCAGAGGGCAAAAGTAAAGTAGAATGAAGGACAATGGATAGTGTTGAGTGGACAAGAGTACGTATGGGGTCTGAGAGAAAAAAAAATGTTGCTTTATATAGTTCAGAAAAGGACTCTCTGGTAAGGTGATATTTGAGTAAAAACAAAGGAAATTGGCTATGTAGAAATCTGGAGAAAGAGTATTTCAGGCACAGTAAATGTAAAATCTTTGAGACTGTTTGGCATGTTAGAAGAACAGTGAAAAGGCTGGTGTTGTTTGAACAAGATAGTAGCAGCAGCTGGGGTCAGTAGGGTAACAGGGCCAGATCATATGTGGTTTTGAATTTTATTCTGAGTGAGAAAGATTTTGAGAGAGGCATGACCTGGCCTGACATCCATTTTTTATAGTCTTATCCTGGCTGTTCTGTTTATTAAGGTGAGAGAAATTTATGCAGTCCCTAGTTTACAAACGAGTTTCATCCCTAAACCAGTCTTTAAGTAAGTTAGATATTTTTTGTATGTAATTTGTATGTAATTTGTATGTAAGTTAGGTACAGTTCATATCTAACACCAGTTAGTCAAATGTTTGTCTTAGTATGTAGTGTATCTTTCTATATATAAAAAAAACATTAAAGAAACACTTCCAGGTACACTAACACATTTTTAATATAATACATTAATTATATTTTGATATGTATCACAAATCAGTGTCTGTTATTACAAATAATTTTATGTACCTCAAGTTTTTTAAATAACAGGCTTTTCAGGGATTGGTTCATAACTATGGGTCGTATGTAAGTCAGATGTTTATAACTTGGGGACTTGCCATACAGCTTACTTGGATGCTGCTTGGAATGATCCAATAAGAGGAGTAACTTATGATGCAGAGGAGAGAAGGGACAAATATAAGATAATAAAATGTAAAGATTATTTGTGGTTGTTGTTAATTGTCATCTAGATGGCTCCAATGCCTGGAAACCTTATGTGTAACATAAGATCTTCATTGGCTCACTTTTGGGAAGTAGATCACCAGGCATTTTTTTTCCTACTTTGCATTAGTCTGAAAGCACCACTGAAAACTGTCCACTGTGGGTGACCCTGCTAGTATTTGAAATACCCATGATATAGCTCCAGGCATATAGCAAACTGTAAGCTACCACAGTATCACAAACTCACAGAGAAGTTGTGGGAAATAAAGTACAAAGACATATAAAATTAAAAATAATACAATATAAAGATTATTTAGTGAAGTCTAAAGAGAAAATGTGTGCTTATTTACAGGTTGGAAAAGCAAAGATGATGTTCCCAAATTAGTGACTGATTTCATGGAAAAGAAATTTGACCTGGATCAGTTGATAACCCACATTTTACCTTTTAAAAAAATCAACGAAGGATTTGAACTGCTTTATTCAGGCCAAAGGTATCTATTTTTGGTGATTGTCTTTTTACTATTTTTGTCTCCTCCTCACAAGTTACTTTTTAAACTTAGGGTTTATAAATGTGTTTGTTTCCTTCATATTATATTCCTAATTGCTTAATCTAACCAGGTTGATACGCAAACACAAACACAAACACAACTGCAACCACTGCCATGGAGTCAGATCTGCCTCATAGTGACTCCTCCTTGGGTTTCTGAGGTGGTATCACTACGGTGAAAGTAAATTTGCTCTGTAAATTTTCACCCAAATCACAATTTTAAAAAAAAACAACTATGTATATTCTACTCTGACATCATGTATCACACTTGACAGCAACTGGTTTAAACTGGTTTATATACACTTTCTAAGCCTTATTCATCCTTTCTCTTCAGATTGAAAACCCTTTTTCCTATTGAAATTATACTGATGCTTCAAGAATCAGTTGAAATACTTTTCCCAGAGACCTACAAGGAAAAAATTGTTAAGGACCTTAGAGCCCAGAAAGTTTCCTAATTAATAGGATTTACCTGACATTTCCTATAGTAGATAAGAAAGACATTTGTTTAACTGATTCTCGTTTGGAAGATATGGAAACAAATCACTAAAAACCATTGTTTACTTTCAGCATTCGGACCATCCTGACATTTTAAGATCTTAAAGGGACAGGAAGTCTGTGTTGTGGAACAACTACCTTGAACTTGCATTTCACAAGTCCCTCCTCTGAGATCACAGATCTGTCTCAGAAACACAAGCAGACACAGAAGATTTGGTGAAGACATACAACCTTCATGAAATAAACATTTAGAGTCTTATGACTATCTGGGAATTAACCAGGAGCTTGAGTCCACAATATTAAAATTGAAAAGTTACACTTTCTAGGACAGTAATTATACATTTCAGAAAACACGCACATGGACATTTAAGTGGAAATAGGAATTCTTCTTTTTTAAAAAGGAAAAAGTCTTAACAAGCTATAATACGTAAAGATATATGAAATATATTTCCTAAAGTAATATTTACTTTATAGATGATCTTTAATGCATTCTAGCTAATCTTTCCTGGATTCAAATTCAAACAATTTTAAAAGATTTTTTGTTATAAATTAACTTGAATTAGGTTTTGAATTCATCTCATTATATGATATTAGCAGCTTGGTTATATTAAGAAAGAAATGGTAGAAATTTAAGGATATGTTTTTCAATGATTAACTTCAAAAATGATCATAATATAACTTGGTGAATCTGAAAAACCTTACTGTAAGGGTGCAAAAGGCTATTTGCTAGCATATATCAATGTTTCAGAACACATGCTTTTTTATAATGCTATTTAAATATAAAACTTCAGCTAGGTTCACATTGTCATATATATAAAGTTCAGTTGATATAACAGAATTTGCAAGTCCTTGAGTCCCTGATTACTAAGTAATGATTCTATTTAGCAAAAATGTTTTCAACCTGGTACAACTGCACTGGCATATATATTTATACATCTATATCTGCTTCTACATCTATGGCAATATAATAGTATATTAAAAACTCATAATAAAATTATTAAAATATTTTTGGTGATACATTTTGTTTGAAGATGGCAATTTTATGTTGTTACCAAGTTTTTATTGGTTGTGGAGAAAGTGTTGAAACATCTGAAAAACACATGAAATACTTTATTAAAAAATCTAAGTAGAATGAGCATAGTAGATTTCCAGACATGGAGGGTTTAAATATGAGGACAAGACATAGCTCACGGAGCATGGATTGATAGATGGCACAGTGTCCAGGTAATTATGAGCCAGTATTTTACACAATAAATATTTGCCAATGAAAAGTAACTTAAATCAGAGGGGTAAGTGCTCTCTTTTCTTTGGCCAGTTTCTTGATGTAGGCTTAATCTAGATTTAAAAATCAAACAAAAACAGCTGAATACCCTTTCACACACGATTTATATGGTTAAAGTTCTAGAGTGTTCTTTACATAGGAAGCTATATTTATCTTTGAATGTTCCTCTAGGTATTTCTTGCTTACTCATCCTTTGATTTCACATTCAAGAACTCAGTTTGACTTTATATAAAAATTGCTTATATTTCTATGTAATAACTAATTCACTGAGTCTTTATAAACTGGTTTATAGTATTTACCTCTTTTCCCGTCTTTTTGTTCCTTCCTCCCACATAGAGTTGGATTCCCTCCAATAGGGAGAGTGAAAATCTATCTCTGTTACTCCAGGTAACAAGCTTTAGTTTCCACTAGTTCTCTCCCCGACTCTTTTGACATTGCCAGTCACCCTACAAGGTACAGAAAAGGGATTGATGCTTTCTCTGAGAGTTCAACCTAATGTACACATAAAAATTCAAAAAGTGGGAACTATGCTCCAAGTTTCTTCTTAAAATAGTACCTAGGAGGATATTCTGTACCCAAAGGATATTATGCAAACATTTTGGGCTGATTCAATCATCAAATTGAGTACATTTTATATTTCTGACTCTTTCAATTTCCCAACCCACTAAATACACCATCATGTTACCTAAAGAATTGAATGAAGTCAAGTACATGTTCTTGGCAATTGCTTTTTGGGGTACTCAAATGTTTAATTTGAGTTAAATTTTTTATTCATTTTCTCAACTGTGAATAAACAAAGGAACTCTGGTGGCATAGTGGTTAAGGAATTTGGCTGCTAACCAGAAGGTAAGAAGTTCAAACCCACCAGCTACTCTGTGGAAGGAAGATGGGCGATCTACTTCCGTAAAGATTTTCAGCTTCAGAAACCCAACGGGGGTCACTGTGAGTCAAAATCGACTTAATGGCAGTGACTTAGGTTTGGTTTTGTGTATGAATGAATAAGACTCTCATTTAAGATTCAAGTCAACATCTTAATTAAAAATTATGTTTACCTGAATTTGAAATCGTATATGTGAAAAAAATAGATACAGTGTTTTAATTTTGCTAGTGAAACCGAGTAAAGTAAAAACTATTTCCCCCACCCTGGCACTCAGATGGGAATAGATAAGTAAACTAAATTACCCCCAACCTAAGGCACTTGACTGCTAACCAGAAGGCTGGTGGTTCAAACCCACCAGCCACTCCTCAGAAGGAAGATGGAGCAATCTACTTCTGTAGTGATACTGCCTGGGAAACCCAAGGAGGGGTCGCTGTGAGTCAGGGCAGAGGGCACATAACAACAACAACAATATTTTCCCACCCCAGACAGATGAGTATTCAGTTCCTTAAATAATTCAGTTCCTTGAAGAACTGAATGGAAAACATTCCTTCCTGCAGATGATAGACTGCTAAAAGTATCCTAGAAAAAACTTGTAAATTAACTCTGGCCCGGGGACATGCTGCAATAGAAAGGAACAAAAGTTAATTGAGGACCCTCTCCCCTCTGCCCAAGCTGCTATCAGATGATAACAGGAAGCTAATGTGACTCATCCATTACACATTCAAGCCCCAAATTCCTCAACCTTTTGTGAATATGCACAACTCCCTCTCCTAAAACCTACAAAGGCTGTGTTTTGATGGCATCTCGGGGAGTAAGATCTGGGTACTAAACTACCCCTACTCCTTGCATTGCTGCTTTGCAATAAATAATTTTCTCTCCTCTCAATCTCGGTGTGTAAACTATTTTGGCCTGACTGCGCACTGGGCAGGGACCCACGTGGTCTGATAACACTAGCATTTCATAAATTTCAGTGAAAGGTTTGGCAAAGTACTATCTGGCACACAGTAATTCACTGAGTACTATTCATTTAGCAATGCCTTCTGTAAAACAACTATTTCTACAAGAAAATGAAGTATAATATTGTACTCTGATTATGGATTACAATTTATGTCAAAATCGTGATATGGTGGTCTGATTTAGGGGCCTGGATTTGTTCTCAGCTCCATCTCTAATTACAACTCTTAGCACTTGTGTCCTGATATCCCTGATTGATTAGAATGAGAGCCTTTGAGATGGTTATAAACCTGTTCTGTCTTTACTAGATATAAAAGTAGACTGAAGAGCATCTACCTAAAAGTGTTGTTATTAACTGCCATCATTTCCCAACTCAAGCAGGCTCCTGATTCAAGAAGGCTCCCAACTCAAACAGATCACCAGATATTTCTTCTAGTCCATCTTATTCTGGAAGATCTACTGAAACCTATTGAACACCACAGCTCATGAGGTACACGGGCCAGGAATCAAACCCAAAGCTCTAGTATGTTGTTGTTGTTGTTATGTGCCATTGAGTCGGCCCCGACTCATAGCGACCCCTCCTTGGGTTTCCAGGGCAGTATCACTACAGAAGTAGGATTGCCCAACTTTCCTTCCGAGGAGTGGCTGGTGGGTTTGAACCGCCAGCCTTCTGGTTAGCAGTCAAGTGGAGACACTACATCACTGAACCCTTCTACCACTTACCATTGCCCCTAGGTTGCTAAAGCACTTTTATTTTACTGTTGAAAATAGGCGTTTTAGTTCTGGCAAATGAATGAGAATCATAGTAATTAGTCATTCCCCAGGAAGCCATTGAATGTTCTGGGAAGACACTCTCAAGAGAGTCAACTTGATCAAGGACCAAATTCTTTAGAGAGTACGAAAGAGGACTGGGATCTAGGATTTTGACCCTAGGGGGCCCTGTTTCTTCCCTTCATTCCATCTCATCTCTATTTCATGCTTGGTATGACAAAATACTAATAATCCTAATTTGGCCTAGCTTCTCTTTGAAACCTTAGAAACTTAGTATGTATATTATGACAGATATTATAACATCTGTCATTTCCTTAAAAGTCAATTTCCCCATATACTGAGATTGTCTTATTTGAGAATACTAAGGCTCATCTTTTCCTTAAGTTGTTTTATTAAGTGGTTAAACCATAGGAAACATCTCATGTTGTCTGAATTATTTAATAATTTGAATTAAAATTAAGAAATTAGGTTACTTTCAGACACTTGATGTTTATCACTCCAAAAAGGACTTGGAGGCAGTGTCTTCTGACCTCTGACTTCACAAGACGAAGATAGAATCACCATCAGCAGCCCAAGGTTTATTCCTATGAGGCCAAACATGTCATCACCCTCCAGCCTTTTTACCAACTTTGAGACTAACCGTCCCTCCCACAGTACTCACTACTTCTCTCCTGGGTTCAATAATTTGTTGTGATGGCCATACTGAACTCACAGACAATACTCATGATTATGGAGTTTATTTCAATCTGATTCCTGTGTGCTACACATGTATAGATGCCATTTGTGTTTTTGAAAAAAATATATTTGCAATGAATGTCATTGGTCTTACAAAATTCTATCACGCGATCTCCAGCAACATTTCTATCACTAAAGCCATATTTTCCAAGTACCAGTGATTCTTCTTTGTTTCCAACTTTTACATTCCAATCACCAGTGATAATTAACACATCCTGATTGCATGTTCAGTCAATTTCAGACTGCAGAGGTTGGTAAAATCTTCAATTTCTTCATCTTTGGCTTTGGTGGTTGGTGTGTAAATTTGAATAATAGTAGTATTAAATGGTCTTCCTTGTAGGCATGTGGATATTATCCTATCACTGACAGCATTGCACTTCAGGAAAGATCTTGAAATAGTATTTGTGACAATGAATGCCACACCATTCCTCTTCAACTTGTCATTCCCAGCTTAGTAGATAATATGGTTGTCTGA